CCCACCAGGAGAGAGGCTGGAGAGGAGAGAGGTTACGGCTCGGGGTCAGGAGGTTCTCTAAACTCCCGCTTCCCCCTCGCAGCGGGACCCTTTGGAGAAGTAAATCAATGGCTGTATTAGCTGCGAGCGGTTATGAACCGCTGATGGACACGGGAGCAGGGGCTGGGAGAATCCTGTTCATCAGGGAATCCGGCCCGAGCTGCTCTCCTGTCTCCTMCGGGCTCTGCGGAGGCTGGGTGCTAATTAGGGGGGACCGCTAATTTCCGCCGAACCCTCACAGGTAACAGCGCGATCCATCAGAGGAGGAAGGTAAATAAACAGCCTTTAAACACGACAAAGCGAGGGCTCCAAAGGCCTCCTGCCTCAGCCCGGTCCAGTGGCAAACAGAGAGCTGCGTGGGTGCGGGTTTGCGCCCGCGTGGGGACTGCCGATCCCACCGGTGGGAAACAACCCCGGCTGGCTTTGTCCGAAGGGAAAGGGTTAAAAACCCAAGGCCGGAGGAGTCAGGAGGTTCTCCTGGATGCGGAGCCAGCAGAGCTGCCAGGGTGGGGATCCGGCCCTGGGCGGGGGGCGGCAGCGGCGGGAGACCCCGGCGTGAGAGGGGCCGGGGGCGGCGAGGGGCGGGGGCGGGATGAGCTGACCTTGGCCGAGTGACAGAGCRAAGCGATGGAGGAGGAACCACTCAAACACGACCGCTCCGATCCGCAGCCCCGAGCCCGGGACTGCGCGGGACAGCGCGCTCCGCTCCGCWCCGCACCCGCGGCCGCTGCCAGGAGCCGCCCGGGCCGTGGGGTGCGGGGGATCCCCGCTCCTTCTGCAGCCCCCGCGCCTCCTCCGGAGGGAGAGCCGACCCCCGACACCCGTCCCCCAGTTTCCCTTCAAAAAAGCAGTAAAAATCCGCCCGAGTCTGCAATTCGCCACCCGAAATCCACTCTCCCTCCCCCACCCCTCTGAGTTATTTAATATAAAATGTATTTTTAAACACCCGCTCGGATAGAATCTCGCCAATATTTATATTTCCACGTTGCCTGGCATCCACTGTCCCACATTAGACTCTGCCTCTCTCTCCCTCTCTCTAATCCTGCCACTTTAAATAGATGAATTAATAAAGCAAATGAGGGTCTAATAAGCTGACTGTCCTGCCTATTGAGGCAGGGGGAGAGAGACTAGAAAGTGCGCCAAATTTGTTTGCAGTGGATCAAGGCTAGCCGCCTTTGCTTCACTTTCTTTATCTTAATTCCGACTTGAAAAGATATAATTATCTAGTTTGAACAGAGCTGCTATCAAATCCTTCTCTAGGCAAGGCAGGGGAGAGCTGGAGTGGATTGCAGTGTTCTGAGCCGCTTGGTGCAGCCGGAGATAGGGAGTAATGAAGTTGTGGAGTCCTGAGATACAAAGGGCATTAACCTCATTAGCATGAAACCTTTTCTTCTAACCATTGTGGGACCCTTTCAGACTCCTAATCCCCCCTATTTTCAAAGCTGGGTTTGTAATAAAGCTTTTAGGGTTTTTTTTCAAAGCTAATGGCATTCTCTGAAGATTTTATTGCTGTTACGCTACATAGGACGCTTAATTTTTTTTCCCCTCTCCCTCTCTTCCCTCACGGTTAAAAAAAAAAAAAAAAAGAGGGGTGGGGGGGAGAAGTATATGGTTCCTGCAGAAATAAGCCTTTTATCAAGATGGGAAACAATTTCTAGAAAGGCCCAAGTCTGCTGTTCGGCCGCAATCCGTTTAATGTTTGCCCATTTGCCCGGGTTTGAAGTGGAGAGCAAGGCAGCTTGGGCGAGTTCGGGGGAAATGTGCGTCCYGCTTTGGTTTCCAGATCTGCATCATCAGCTGTTCGAGGAAGGAAGMAACGCGACGAGAAGTTTACCTTGGGAATAGCTCTACTAAATAATTAGCCTAGGTTTAAATGGAGGGGACTGCATTGCGACATGAGTCCTAACCCCGACTGGGCCTCTCTCATATTTGTAGCACAAGTGAATGGAAAGTCACAAGGATTGTATAAGAAGCATTGCTAAAAAAAAAAAGAAATTAAATAAGATCGGTTTTTTTTAAAAAAAATTAAATTTACATAGTACCCGATAGAGCCAACACGTGCACAGAATGTCTAATCTTAACTTTTCAAGGCAGTATGTTTAACAAAGCTCGTATTTTTGCGATGCATTGTAACTTCGCCTTATCACAGTGTAAAGGGTAGTCAGATTGTCCTAAATTATGTCCAACTAGCCCCCCTGGATCCACGGATTAAGAGATTAAAGGAGACCACTGGGCAATGCCTCCTCTTTCCCCTTCATATTCCTGGTATGATAATTGCCTAAACTGATTTGCACTTTCACAAAAGCTTGCAGGATTCTTTGTAGCCCGAACAGAGCAGACGAGGTTTCTCTATCAATGGAAATAAAACTGATTAATGCAGTCTATCAGGCTAAGGAGCAAATGAAGCATGAAAAAACAACTGTGTACCCCCAGAAAACCAGCTAGTTTCCTCAAGGACCCA